CCCAATAACCTCAGTTCTTTGATGGATCAAAGAAGGGTTGTTGAGTTTCCATTTGTTAAGCTTTTCTCTTGATATGGGGAAGGTTGTGAGGCCTTTCACGTTTCCACTGAATGCTGGAGTGGAAACCAAGTCTTTATCCTCTATTCCATTTTTATTATTTTCTCATTTCTCCTTTCTGTGGATTTACTCAATTTTCCTTTTCCAACTTTATAAGTTAAATCATTATTTCTTCAATTTCCAGGGTCTCTACTTATCTAATATAAATATTCTAGGCTATCAATTTCTTTCTAAGTACCATTTTGATGCATCATACAAATTTTGATTAATCTCTTTTTAACCTTAAATACAACAGCCTCTGAACATGTCCCTGCTTTCATCCAGGAACCCACCCCAACCCAACCAATCTGTCCTATATGATCCTGCTACACTGACATTTCTAAAATGCAAATCTGACCGTCATTTTCTGTTTAAATGACTAGGCGCAGATATCCAGATTGAGTTCATTTTTATTTATTGTGGACAAACAGACCTTATTGATCTCTATTAACTGCCTCTCCCGCCTTTGCCCCCACTCTTACACAAACTTGGCCTTAGAACAGCTCTGTGAAGAACTATCTACTATGTTGGCAATTTCCATATCTGCACTGCCCTATATAGTAGCCACATGCCTTAAAATGTGGCTAGTGAAACAGAAGAAAAGGAATTTAAATTTTATTTAATTTTAATTAATGTAAATTTTAAAAGACCCATGTGGATTTTGGCCCCCATGTTGGACAGTGAAACTCTACACGGAACGAGCCTGTCCTTCTGTAGCCTGACTTAGCACATTCTTCTCTCTTACTCTAATGTAACAAAATGTTATTTCCTGATTTATACTAGAATAAATAAATTAATAAAAAATAGAGTTGTTCAGAGAATACAGGTCAGAGAGTTAGGAACCACATTAATATCAGTAAATTCAAGTTCAGCAGAGAAAGAAGAACCTTCTCCTAGAAAATTAAACTTTAATGTCAAGGAAGAACTTTCTATAGGGTAAATAAACTCTTCAGAAGCAAACACAATATTTTCTATATTTTTGTCTCACAGCAGGATACTCAGTACACAAAAGTGTTTGCACATTTGTTGAGTGAATGAATACTGGGATACAAGTCCGTAGTCCCAGAAACTGAACACTGTCATGAAGCAGACTTTAAACTTTTGTTGGCAGAAAATCAGTCTCAGGGTGGGTTCAAATGTAGCAGTTACTAGTTCATATTATCTCTCAATTAAAAAAAAAAAAAAGGGCCGGCTGAGTGGCGCGTTGGTTAAGAACTGGCTTGGGACGCCAGAGGGCCCCAGTTCGGATCCCACATGTGAGGGCCAGTGACACTGCCCTCTACAGCTAAGATGCTGAACAACAGCTCGACCTGGAGCTGGGCTGCCGTGGGTCGCCAGCGACCGCGTGGGCTGCAGCCCCTGTGGCAGTGGGTTGCCATAAGCTACCATGTGTAGCCAGCAGCCAACGTGAGCAGCCAGCAGCCGCCATGAGCGGTCGTCCAGAAGCCAGCGACTGATCTGCCTCGCCCGGGAAGAGTGCAATGATGGTGCCAACTTGGGCCAGTGAAGCAACGTCCTCCACAACTAGACTGAAGAACAAAACGACAGCAACTTGTCTGTTCCCCTTTCTCCAATTCCCCAATAAAATGTTTTTTAAAAAAAGGATTAAAAAAAATTACATTTTTACAAGTCTCATAGCAATGATTCTCAAACTCTTTGACCCAAAGAATGCTTTACACTCTTAAAAATTGCTGAAAACTCTTAAAAGTGTTTGCTTATGGGAGTACTACTTTGATGTTCACTATATTAGAAGGTAAACTTTAAAACTTTTAAAATGCAAGACTTCACAATCACAAATTCCACTGGCTGTGAGAACCATAACATCGCCACGTGTCCGGCAGCCTCTGGAAAAATCGATTGTACATTCATGAAAAAATAAGAGCAAAAAAAGGCAAGTATCTTTATTCTAAAGATAGTCTGACCTCTCAGACATCCCTGCTAGGGTCTGGGGACCCCCCAGGACCCGAGTACACCATCCTAGAGAAAGACAGGACTCCATGACTCTCTCCCTGGAATGCTTGGGCGGGACAGGGGTCAGGGAGGCAACTGCCTTGTCCACGCATACACGCAATAATGAGGTGTGGTTTTAAAACTGTTTCTAAGCTCATAAGAAGACTAAAAATAATAATTTAAAATGTATTAGGAGATAGCGTGCAGCATATTGGGTTTAATATTCTTTCTTGTCATAGTCAGTCTTGATTGGAATGAAAAACAACACAAACCTCAAGGTTTTCTTTTCTAGGGTTTTTGGTTTGGGGGAAAAGGGTGTTTAAAAATAGCTAGAATTTTTTACACTCTAATTTAGTCTTTATCAAGTAAAAGTAATAAAGTGCCTAATGTAGAATTTGACATTTTCTAGGTACTCAGCAGATGCCTGTTCGTCATTTGTTCACTTTCCAAATCAAATTTAAGTTTCCAAAGACACTTATAAAGAAGGGAGCTGCACACTATTATCAAGAGTTCTAGTTGAAGTTCATCAAAATATATGGCCATGGGTTTAGAAACGAAATAGTAAAATATGGCCAGGAGAGATTAAATGTGAGGCTATATGGCTGACTAGACTGATTGTTAACTAGTGAATTATCTAAGAGGCAACAGAATTACTTCTTTGATGATATAATTTGGTCATTGAAGCAACCAAAGAAACTCTACTGTAAGTTAAGTGGTCAAAGAAATTTAGAAGGCAAAATTTCCTGAGGGTTGCAAAACTTTTTTGTGTGAATGTCTTAACTTTCATGCTGGCTGAGGAGAAAATAAACCAGAAAATCCTAAAATATGTTCACTGGCGGTAGACGGAGACCAGCTGAGTTCATACTGTATTTTTTAAAACAATGTAGGGGATAATCTCTAAGAGAAAGTAACTTGTATCAGTGACACGTCTGGTCAGGACACTCATGACCATATGACTTTAACCACAGGAAACGGCAGAGGGTAAGGTGGTAGGTGAGACTCCCCAGTGAGCCTCCCCATGGTCCCCGGGCCTCCTCACTCTCCTTTAGAGGGCCACTATGATATACGGGGAGGAGACGGGTGTGAAGGGTGAGATCATAGAGAAACGGGCAGTCAGGCCATGTACACGGCAGGCCATCCTAGGACATAAGTCTGCCTCTGAGAGTGATGGGAGCAGAGGAGTGTCACCAGCTCCATACGCTGAGCTCAGCGTCCTCAGAGGTCACTCTGCATAGTGACATCTGTCCTGCTCAGCTCAAGGAGGTGCTGTGTTCAATCTTAGTAGGGTGGTGGGGGAGGAGAGGTAGCCCACCATCCCATGCGGGAATTGAACAGGCAGGCTTGTTGTTAGGAGCATGTGCTCTCACCAGCTGAGCCATCCTGCCACCTGTTGGCAGCTCAGCGGCAGCTCAGCTTGGGCACAGCTCACTGGCCCATGTGGGAATCGAACCGGCAACCCTGTTGCTCAGAGCTCACGCTCTTAAGCTAACTCTTAACCAACTGAGTCACTCAGCCGACCCAGCAGCATTTATCTTGTAAGTCCCCTTTAGTGGGAAGATCCATGAAACGCGGACCCACCCAAGCCCCGTGTGAACTGGCTGAGCCACTTCATCTCCTGCAGCCTGAGTTTCCGCTTCTGCACCGTGAAACAGTAATAAGGACCTCATTTGCTTGATAGAAAAACTCAGATAATGTCTGTGAATGTACAAATGTTAAAGCTCAGCCCGTTACCATCAGCAACCCACACATGTCCTGAACAGTGCCTGACAACAATGCTTACCGATGACATCCTTTTAAAAATTATAGTTAGGGAAGCAGGAAAAAGCAGGTTTAATCTAGATGTTGGGGAAAATCTCTTGAAAAGGAAATAAAATATCAACCACAGTACAAGTTTTCTGATGCTCAATTAATGAAATAAATTCAAGCCAGCCAAGCCCAGGTGATGATTACAATGAAACGGAATTACCAAGACAGCATTAGTAAAGCACAGAGGCAACAATAAACAGCGGACATGCAACATTTTAAGGATTTTGTTTCTTTTTTGAAAACTGTATTTGAAAAACAGAAATCACTGAGGTTAAAAGGGAAGCAAAAAACCATACTAGCCACCAAGATTATAAAAAGTATAACCAAACTTGAACAGTGACACCTAAAATAAAATGGGCAAATTGTGGCTCCTGAGAAATTACTATTTTTTAAATTATTATGAACTTTTTTTTTAAGTTGGGAAATTGGGGGTGGGGAAGAGTGTTGGGGAATTGGGGAAGGAGACCAGCCAAGTTGTTATTCTTCAGTCTTAGTTGTGGAAGGCGCCAGTTGCCATCTGGCTGCCTGTCGGCAGCTTGTGGCCTCTAAGCTCAAGGTGCTGAGTTCAGTTTTAGTTGCGGGTGGGTGTAGCCACCATCGTATGTGGGAGTCGAACCAGCAGCCTTGTTGTTGAGAGTGCATGCTCTATCCACTGAGCCATCCAGGCAGCAGCTCAGTTCAAGGTGTCAAGTTCAGTCCTAGTTGCGGGCGGGTGTAGCCCACCATCAAACAAGCAGTCTTGTTGTTAGGAGCACGTGCTCTCACCAGCTGAGCCATCCTGCCACCTGTTGGCAGCTCAGCGACAGCTCAGCTCAGGCGCGGTGTCACTGGCCCATGTGGGAATCGAACCGGTGGCCCCGTTGCTCAGAGCTTGTGCTCTTAAGCTAACTCTTAACCAACTGAGCCACTTGGCTGGCCCCTGAACTTCTAAATAATGAACAACACTACGTTTAAAAATGAAAATAGTGACTATTTACTGGATTATATGTGAGCCCTAGAGAGAATGTCTGTGTGGCACAGGACATCAGCATTGTGGGTCACATGCCCGGCCTCAGCTGCTGCAGACACATGCCCCCTCGTCCATCCTTCCACCGCCCATGCTACTGACCAGGGCGTTGGTGACCCCGTGTCCGCATCTGGTGCCTTACCTGACCGGTAGCGTTCATCTCGTGACCCTGAGGACCTTCGGCGGTGGTAGCGAGATGCGGAGGACGGAGTAACGGGAGCCCGGCGCTCCGGTGGCAACGCTTGGTCCACCCCTGGGTTGGGGAAAATGGCAAAGTGAGGTGAGGCTTTACTTGGCAGCTGGGGTTAAGCTACTTTGTGGGGGCAATCACCTAGTAGAATGCAGTTCTGACTCACCAACCCCACAGCCCCGGAGAGCTCGCCCAGGTGGGCGTGGGGGGCCTGGGAGTCACGGACGATGAGCAGGAGAGGGACATGCATCCCGGCGGGGCAGACCCATGCTCGACACCACAGAAGCAACACAGGCTCCTGCACGTCACACACATCCAAGTGTCATGGGAAGAGGCACAAACTAAGCCACAGGCAGCCACTGAAATCAGCGGGGTTTAGATGGAAACATGGGGCCCGAAGACCAGACCACATTATAATCTTCTTTATCTAATAAACATACACGAAGGGTTAAAAATGCTTGAGAAAAATTAAAACTACATTTATCCACATTAACTTTAAAATAAATCTCATAGTTTAACAATATAATTCAGGTAGCCAGGATTGAGCATCGACTTTGTTCATTCAAAATTTTTAACTCTCTGGAATCTTACCATGTTTGAAGCTAAACAATCGAACATGCTGTATTTCCATATGGCTTTGACGAGTTTACAACACAACTTTTAAAAAGAAAGGAGTTGGACAAAAGGAGAATGGCTTCGATAGGTCACGAGCAGCAGGCCATTAAGAGAACTAATATATTAGTGTGTACATTCAATCATTGGTTTTCATCTGACCTCCTTGGGAATGAAATGCGAGGTGGCTTAAAGGCACTTCTGACAAGAAAAGGCTGCCAGTCGACTATGCGACTCCAAAGTCACCCGAGGAGGGCCCCGGGGCAAGAACGGAGGGTCTTTCTCATGGTCCACGCTGAGCATCTAACCGAATGCTGCAGCTGGAATGGGTGTTTTCTTGGCAATGCTGCCATATGAATTGTAGGTAAAACCTGGTTTTAGAGCTCAGAATTCAGCACTGCCCATCTCACCCACAAACCGCGATAGAGTGCTTGAAGCCACAGGCGGCCAGAGTATCTGCGACAGGCACAGGCTGAGGATGTGAGCTATCCCGAGGGAGGGCGGTAACTGTGCAGAATCACGTGAAGTTGGACAAAAATTATAATGGCTCTGTTCAAGATGACACATCAGGATTGGCTCCTTCCCTGCTGGGGGGTCGAGCACCAAGGTGCTGCACAGGCCCACAGGCACTGTGGGGAGAGCTGCAGGATGACATCGTGCCCTTGAGACGATCTGTGACCCTGGGCCTGTTTCCCACCTTTAGATAGAACTGATAAGAACAGCCAACACTGTATCACGCTGGTGGAACCACTTTATATTTGTGTTTCATTTAGTAACGTAACCATACCAGACAGGTGCTGGGGCCTCTGCCACCTTACAGATGAGGAAACAGGCCCAGAACTAGGCTTTCAACTCAGGTCAGTGCCACTCTCATTCACTCGGAACTCCCTTTCTTTTGCCATGGGCATCCCCTCTCTGCACTTCCAGGTCCCCTATCATCACTTAGAGTGCTCTGGTGGCCTCAGTGTCCTGTCCCCAGGAGGCCTGGTCCTCGAGGCAGAGGCTGTGTCCTGCTCGGTGCCATGCACTGGTGCAATAGCTGTGTTATGTGGACAAAACCGAGCTGGTACCTCGAAGCCGCAGAGCAGTGTTTTTGTGACCTTATACAGAACCATTCATCCAGCAGCAATCTTATAAGATGGAAACTGCTACAGCTTCAGGTTGTTGCCCAGGATGCAGTCAGAGCAGCTGCCAGCTGCCACCTGACAGAAGTGCATCCACCAGACCCTCCCTGGGGAGACGGGCAACATGAGGTGACATCACTCCTATCATCTCCCCCCGGGCCGAGCACTGCCCTTGGCCTGCAGGACGGGCTTAGGGGACATTTCTGAACCAGTGAGTGACACTGTCAAAGCTGTGCAGAGGCTGGAATGCTTCAATCTGAATATGATAATGTCAGTGACGTGTTTGTTTTTCTCTGGAATTGTAAAGGGACTGGAAAAATGATCCAAATATGAGGACGAGACCCAAGGTGCATACAGTGAAATGGACACGGAAGCACAGCACAGGGGGGACAAAGTCCTAGCCACCTTTCGTGAGCTGCTACTTTCTAGATGGCCACCTCCCATGAGTCTCTCTTCCTACCCTACACTTTATCCTCAAGGTCAAAAAAACCACCAGGTCTACTGCTGGGCCTTCCTGGGCTCCTCACAGTCAGATGCCACCTGCTGCCCCCCGGACCTCCACAGACCTCTGTCTGTCCCCACTTTGACCCAGTAGGGCTCTCCCAGTCCATGCCCTACATCCTGGTGGCAGAAAACAGAGCCCAGACTCCTTCCCCCAAACCTCAGCACCCACCGCCTGGCAGCATCTGCCACTTGGCCCCCGGGACCCAGCGGTCAGAGGCGGCCACTCGGCCTGAGCGCTGCTGTCCTGCCGCTCTGTCCTGCTCTTCCCCTCGACGTGAGGCCTCACTCAAGCCCACAGGGACAAATGGGACAGAGAAACGGGCCGTTTCTATCAGACCGCAACTACTTACTTCTACGCGTGACTGAGCAAACGCCCCTGCCCCAAAGACGATTCCTAACCACACAGCTGTGTCCCTAAACAGCCACACGGTTGCTTCACTAATTATGGGAAATCAGACACTGGAAGTCACTATGAACCTCACAGTGTCCTAAGGACATGGGGACAGTGGCTGCCGCTCTGACACAGTGTCGAGCACAGGCCAGACCTGCAGCACAGACATGAGGCTGTTCTAGAAAAAATAAACTTATCCAGCACCATTTTAAAGAACTCACAGGGTAAGTGGGGGACAACGTGAACGAGAATGCATGTGAAACTCATTTAATACTAGGAGGCCTGTTCTCACTAACTATGGAACTGGGCACACTACCTGGGCCCTGAGCCCAGCCCCCACCACGCTGTAGGTGCTGGTGGACACGGTCACACGGGAGCCACTCCAGCCCTTGTGGACACTCAAGCCTCTCCTGCTTGTCCCCCTGCGTCCGGCATCCATAGGGCCCACAGGGGTCCCTGGCTTTTAGGACTTGGTAAAGCCTTCAAGGGTTTTCCTTCATTTCAAGTCTATGCAAAGCACTTCTGAGCCTTGTTTCCCGATGGCAGTCTTCACAGCAGCACCGACTTCCACAGCGGTGCCATCTTAGACTTTGCCAGAAGCAGACAGGATGGTTGCTGTACGTGCGGGTCAGATAACTATGTCTACTTGTCCTGGCTCAGAAAGCACACAGATGTTTTGTCGTAAGTAAGCTCTACCCCAAGTGTACTGGCCCACCTTCCTTGCTGTCACCATGGCTTCCAGTTCCTCCTTCATCAACAGAAATCCTAGCCATACATCAGTACAAATTTGCTAAGCATGTACTATTAAAATATTTCAGTTTGATTAGGGACTCACGACTTGGGAACGTGGAAAACACAGAGCTTGAGGGACTTTGACAGGCACCTTGGGACACTGGTCTTCACTCATCGGAAGGCAGTGACGGCGTGTGGTCAGGGACGGGGCATCAGGCTGGGCACTCTCCCTTCTCACGGACATGAGCCTTTTCCAATGCCATTCTGACTGTCTGTGGGGACGCTCAGTGAGCCCACAGCCAACTCTGCCCAAACTCCAGCGGCCTCATGTGGAGCAGCCAGGCCATGCCCCCCGGAACCACTGACATCTGGGGCGAGGATCCTGAGCTTTAAAAGGACACGCAGGGGCAAGACACCTCACATGGAGACCGTGCAAACAGCAGAGTCCAGGAGCTGAAGCAAGGCCAGGCATGTGTGTGAGCCTCCAGCAGGAGCAGACATGGACCAAGAGTCACCCTGACCGGGGTTCCTCCTCGGAGGCTGGCCCCATGGACCCCACAGCCAATTCCCAGGGGACAGAAGGACAGAGACAGACTTGCCCTATGGTGACTTGAGTCAAACCCCCGAGACCATCACAACCAGTTGGCCACAGCAAATCCTCATAACTGAGCGCAAAGCCATGTAGAAGAGAAACCAAGCAGCTCGGAGAAGGAGGCTGGGTCTGCATGACCACCGAGGAGTGTGCTGACCAGTGGTACGGAAGCCACATCTGCACATATGCTGGGAGGAACAGGCCTGACATGTGGGAAGGTTCACACCTATGGGAACACTGGGGTTTCACTGCTTCTCATCACGGGCCTGTCCTGAGAGCAGCAAAGACTCATTTGTAAGCTTTCACATGACACTGATCCTGAATAGACTGCATTTTAATTTCTTTTCACAAGTTTTGTCAGACTTAGAAATTAACAAAAGATGATTTTTTTTTAAAGATTTTTATTGGGGAATTGGGGGGATGGGAACAGTGCTGGGGAATTGGGAGAAGGGGAACAGACAAGTTGCTGTCCTTTTGTTCTTCAGTCTAGTTGTGGAGGACATTGCTTCACTGGCCCAAGTTGGCACCATCATTGCGCTCTTCCCGGGCGAGGCATCAGTCGCCGGCTTCCGGAGGGCCGCTCACTGTGGCTGCTGGCCACTCACACTGGCTGCTGGCTACATACAGTAGCCCATGGCAACCCACTGCAGCCTACGCCGTCACCGGCGACTCATGGCAGGCCAGCTCCAGGTTGAGCTGTTGTTCAGCATCTTAGCTGTGGAGGGCAGTGTCACTGGCCCTCATATGTGGGATCCGAACCGGGGCCCTCTGGCATCCCAAGCCAGTTCTTAACCATTGCGCCACTCGGCCGGCCCCAAAAGGTGATTTTGAAGGAGGCACTGCACAGCCAAAACCAGCAAGGGGACAAGTACTGAGTAAGTGCTCCTAAATACATTTCCTCCTTGAAAATGATTTCCAGTATATTCTTTCTGATCCTTTCCTTCATTAACTATATAATTCTCATTTTTCTTTGCAGCTTCTGGGACTCTTTTGCTTACCTAGTTAGGTAAGTGTTCAACACTGCGCTGAAGACAGTGTATGAGGTCTGACAATTAAGTTCCCGAACTTGTTGCAATGATGTTGCTAACCTTTTTTGATATCAGAACAATTATTCATTATGAATTTGTACCAACTGAACAAACAGCTAACCAAGTTTGCTATTTGGAAGTGCTGAAAAGCCTGTGTGAAAAAATTGGATGACCTGAACCTTTCGCCAACAATTCCTGGCTCTTGCATCACAACAATGCACCAGCTCACCTGGCACTGTCTGTGAGGGAATTTTTAGCCAGTAAACAAATATCTGTATTGGAACACCCTCCCTACTCACCTGATCTGGCCCCCAATGACTTCTTTCTCTACCCAAAGACAAAGGAAAAGGAAACATTGATAGGAAGACATTTTGATGACATTCAGGACATCGAGGGTAATACGATGACAGCTCTGATGGCCATTCCAGAAAAAGAGTTTCAAAATTGCTTTGAAGGGTGGACTGGGCGCTGGCATTGGTGCATAGCTTCCCAAGGGGAATACTTTGAAGGTGAACATAGTGATATTCAGCAGTGAGGTATGCAGCAGTTTTTCTAGGATGAGTTCTTGAACTTAATTGTCAGACCTTGTATGTTCCAGGGAAACCGAGTCATGTCACATATTCTGTGATAGTCACTCACTTCTGAGCAGGGACAAAAACCAGAAAACTTGCCCCAAGCAGCTTCTCGGCAACCTCTGACTCGAGCCATTAGTTTCTGCTGAATGCACCAAGCTGCTCTAACTCATAACTCTGTGTCCCAAACAACACTTCTGTAATTGTGAAAAGGGCCTCACAGCTAATGCCCAACTCTGCTACCCACTCACCAATCCTTTGTTCTTCCCACAAGGACATTCGTTGTACTCGTCACCGCATGACCCGGGGGGACCAAGAGAAGCCACATGGGACAACCAGCCTTGGCATCTCTCCTGAGATCCTGGGGCCCAGCTGTAAGGTTGTAGCTTACCTATAATTTGTGTATGATGCTCAAAACAGTGCCCTTCATTTGAGGTAAAACCCTGAAGATAAGCCTCAAATTTACAAATCCTTATTTCCTTATTCTACTAAAAGGTGCACTAAACTCACCTTTGGGGGCTTCTCATATTCAAAGCATTGTCCACTCACATAATTATGACCTCTGAAGAGGGCCCCTGCCTCTAAGAATACCTCTGTGAGTAATCGGTTTTTCTCTCAAATCATCACTGCCCTTTGGAGACAGGCCTGCAGGGGCTGCAGCTCTCAGTCCCCTGACCGACCTTTGAGGCCAGGACCTGTTAGTTCCAACTTTGCCGTGCTCTGAGGCTACGAGACAAAGGTCTGTCTGTGGAAGACCAACCATTTCGGGGAGAATTTTAGGATTTGTCATGCATTCTCTCTTCTCAAGGGTTTTAGAAGTGGCACCCCAACTGCGAAAACAGGGCTGTAAAAACGTCATATTCTGTTCTAATAGAAAACACTCAGAACGGGCCTGAGCCAGTGAGATGGTGGTGGTTCCGGGGACTGAGACAGCTCTGTGATCATTCATCTGGAGAATGGGGGCTCCAACACAGGGTCCCCGAGTGCCCCCAGCACTAGGCCCTGCAGTCCTATCTAGAAGGGTGACTGGCCATTTCCAATGGGTCCCTGCTATGGGGTCTTCTCAGGAAAGTGCGCTCACCGAAACGAAAGTAAAACAGAGGCCGGTTTCCCGCGGTGCTGGCCGCGCGCTCCCTGCCAGCGGCTTCTCGGATGTCACACACCGCGATGTGGCTGCAGTGTGGCGGTCTCCTCGGGGCGCCTTCACTGTGCGGCGGTCTACACCGGGCCACGGCAGCTCCGTTCGCTGCTGTAACAAGTTGAAAAAAAACTAATTAATTCAAACTTTAGTTTTTTTTAAATTTGTTACAGCGCTGAGCAGGACTGCCGACCCCATGGAGAATAGCACAAAGGACACCAAAGGGACCATGCGACACGGGGGCCACCCTGAGTGCCCAGCCAACACGGTCCAGCCCGCTCTGCCACCATGGCTTGAGAGCCATGTTCTGGGTGCTGCTTCTGTTTCACTCTTGTTTGGGAAGGCACAGAGACGGAAATCCAAAACTGCCAAGAGCCTACAGTCAGCCCGCCAGCCTTCCTCCACAGTACAGAGGGGCCACCTGCCAAAAGGGATTCACAATGATGGGCGTGAGGACGGCCCTCACCATGCAGTCATGCCAGAGGATGAGAGAAAAGGGGGAGACCAGAACCTAACCCTTTGCCCACTTGTTCCTAAAGCTTTCACACGTGGGTGCCAGCCCACCAAAACGCTGATTTATTTTTAATTCACCCAGCTAGAATAGTGCTTCTTCCTCTTATAAGCCAGGTGACAGGAAGTTAGCCTATGCTACAGGCTAACTTCTTTAGGTTAACTCTTTTAAGAATCAAGGGGAAAAAAAACCACATAACATCAAAACAAAACTATAAACACAGCAGAAATGTGACACACAAATCAAGTTTCATGGGACGCAAGCCCCTGGAAGTGCTCCCTCCTGGCCAGCAGAGCACTGCTGGGCATGTCACAACCTGTGTACCTACAGACTTAAACCTCTAGCAGAAGGTTCTCAGCAGCTTTAGAAATTCTGTTTCAGCAGTGAAAATGGTGTTCAGGCAGCACCTTTAACACTTATGTTACTATTCTTCCTCCTCGAGTACAGCATTACCAGTGTTCATCGTAAGCCATCCCCAAAGCCTAGCAATACTCAAGGTCACCCTCAAACCTAGCTGACCTGTGACGACTCTGGCCTGGCATCGTTTCTGCTTCTGGAAATGCATGGAAGCTGGCTCCAGTGCAAAGCAACCCCATAAACCTGAACACGTGAAAATACTGGAGGGAAACAGACTCTGTGCTTTTGGTAAGAATCTATAGCGTTTTACAGTCACACTTCAAAGCACAACCAACCTTTACGATTTCATAATCCCAGGCAGGAGATTATATCATTTTCTAGATTTGCCCTAACCCCGAACGGCATCAACAAAAACCTTGGATTAATTTAAACCATGTTTAAATCATAAATGCTGTCATATTTTTTGTGGCTATAGCATTTTGAAGTAATCAACCCCATTATTGCCCTCTATAGTGTAACACCTATTAAATCCATAAGGCACACTTATAGAAAATCATATGTGCCTGGTATATTCACAGAGCAGTACGTGTAGCCAGTGTCACATCGGGAACAGGGTCTTCATTGGACCAGGGACCGAGGAAGGACTTGTGATGAGCTGTTCTCTTGAATGTTGCAGGTAGCCCTTAAAAACAGATAATTTATGCTCTCAACAAGGTTTACGTACTTGGAGGCTGGGGCAGATAGGCTCCAATTAATTTTGACCTCTTCTTTTCGTATCCTTTCTGTGTGATGTCACCTGTAAGACAAGGAAAGAAGGACTTATAATTATAATTTAGAAAGAAAGCACTTTACATCGTTCAGCTTGACCTCTTCTCCTGCCTGGACAAACATATATCATTGTTAATGTTATATAAAAACACTTTGATAAGCACATGTTTGTCCCTAGCCCTCCTCAGAGGTTTCAGCTCTGATGGGGTCCAGAATTCGGCTCTTGCAATCTTATTCACATCTGCCAGAGCAGGAGACCCCCCCCGTCTGCATGGCTCTCGGAAACTCAATCAACCATGGGTCACGCAGGTGCCCACGCTGGTGACAGCTGCCCAAACCATTACTGATGAGCACCTTCTTTCATTAGTGAGGTTTTTCTAACCAGGCGTGTCAGTCTAAGACTTTAAACTGCTAGGATATTTTTGAAAATAGGAGACTTAGACCAAATCAAACATTAAATAAAACAAAGCTAAACATTATGGGATGCATAGAAACCCAAAACATGTGAGAAAGGTGCTTATCGGTAAAACACAAGTTACATGTTAAAGCCGGAGGTTCCCACACACCGGCAGAAGACATCACCCCCACGCTGAGGTGCTTCCTCAGTGCCGAGTCCCCAGGACAAAGCTGTCTGAGACACACACAGCCCCTTCTAATTGTGAGAGCTAACACACACAACATACTGACTTTGCCCTTGAAGTTCTTATAACCTGCTCTTTTTTCCTAGCATTCTGATCAAACATTATTCCCAGAAGAGCCAAAAACTCATGTTTGAATAAAAATACAGCAAACAAATGAGACATTATTATAAGTGACACACCGATTGGCAAATGTGCTTTTTCCAGTGGTGTGTGCTCAGTACGATCATACCATGAAGCGTCTAATGCCTGACATGTAACCACAGCTCCCTGTAGAGTCCTGACCACCCCACAACACACAGCGCTCATTTTGAAACACAGAGCCATAAGCAACAGAAAGGCGCGGAGCGCATCCTGCTAGCAGTTGGGGAGCATTTCTGATGCCAAATGACCACACGCAGTGCACAGTGCCCCAGGTCAGCCATGTGGGCCAAAGCACCCAGGAGTGAGTGCACGCTCCGGAGCAGCTTTGTGACTGCTCAGGACATGGGGGCAAACGCCCGGGGACGCTGGCTGGGAAGTGGCTCTCACACCTTACCTCTGAATTCTCTCTAGATGAGCACTCATCCTGTCCTATTGCAACAAAGAAGGACGTATCTGCCCGACCGTCCTCTCGGCCCCGGGGACCCCTGCGAAGGCAGCTGCCACAGCCTCCCAGCACACTCGCAGCCCCTCAGCTCGTGCGCCTCCCCATCAGTCCTTGGGAATGACAGAGCTGTTGCGGGAGCTAGTTACCATGGTAACTGTACTCCAGTTAATCCGCTCTGGGTCACACTCAGGCTTCTGAAGATTCAAAGCCAGTCAGTCCCAGGCAGCCAAGGCCCCCGGAACAGGAGCACGTGAGTGAGGCGTGTGGGCGGGCCGTCATCATCGCACACATAGGCCCAGAGGCTCCTGGTGCACTGGGCACACACCTGTTTACCTGTGCCCATCCTCCCCAGCCAGCCCCACTGGGCGCTCGGTGCTGGTCGCCTCACAGGGATTTTACACAGTTCCACCATCAACTCTGAGCCCTGGCAAACCAGACCCATTTCAGTCTGTTCACACCCAAACCTGTGCTCAAGTTTTAAAAATCTCCCAGATGAACATTAAGTATGGCAGGGGGCAGGAATGTCCCTTAAATTTCAGTGTCAGCCAACTCACAGGAACTTTGAACTCTTTGAATTCTGTCTTACTCTGGAAAACTCCAATTGCTAAGACCTTGGGCATAAGAGAAAAGAAGCACTTTCTCCTAAGAAACCAAAGCCCCCTGAGGGGACAATGTCAGCAGGGCTCTGTGTTATACATCCTGAACAGTAGTCACTCCTACTCCTTGTAACTACTGATTTTATAGGTAAGAAACTGAGGCACAAATTGCACTTAGGTTTTTCGCTCAGAGCCCCAGATCCAAAAAAGAAACAAAGCCCGTCCAAGCGCAGAACTTTCCCCATTGAAGCCACACCCAGAACCACCCCAGCAGACAATGGGGCCAGCTCCACCTGCCTAGGACGCCCTCCTCTCAGGACCACCGTGCACCCGCTGCCTGCTGTTCCCCTCAGACCCGGCCCAGCTCGGCGACACCAAGCATCTGGGCTCCTAGGGGTGGCCTCCCCGTGAGGCCCTTCTTGCTGCCTACATATGTGTGGCCTATCCTCAAAACCAGGGCGTGACACCTTCATGGGTCAGTGTCCTCCAGGCCGAGTCAACTAGGACTCGGTGTTGATGGGTTTCGTCACACAAGTGGGCAGCAGACACAAGTGTCACAGAGTGACTTCAGTCAGTAAATGACTAGACAGAAGCTGCATTTGTAACCAGGACAAACACAGGTGACTGTTAACTGCTTAGTGACCATGAAGGAAAGAGCAGAGGGGACAATTGATAACGCTTCCGTTATCCAAGTGTTTAAGACAACAGCTCGACTAGTGCGTTACCCAGAAGGATCCAGTATCTGTGACCAGGCACCAGGTTCTCTCAGGCGCCCTGAGCATCAGGGCTAAGGATGCCTTGGCCACACCCACCGCCTTTTCCATGGAGAAAGTTGGGTGTTTTTATCTCTGGAGCTGTGTTAGGCCTGGTGGACAGAGGTCCCCCACACAAATGCTCACAGTAGGCAACAGAAGCAATTGGTATGGTCTGCCCTTTATTCTGAGGTGCCCACGAGGTTCTTGTGCTAATACAATAATAAAGATAGACAAGCTAGAGTAGATGATAGGCAAATAATATGGATGACTGATTGATGGAATAGGTGATTAATAGTTAACAGCTACAGATAGACGACAGGTAAATGATGACAGATATATACACAGCTGGACACACAGTTCCGCCCACCCGGAATGCCTCCAGGGCTGTTGGAGGTTGACCTGAAGTCAGTGCCATGGCATTACCATGGCAACACGGTGCCTCTCCTCCACTTGTGTTACTTCCCGATGAAGGATCAGCTGGCTGTACCTGCTCTCTCCTGTTCACCTTGGATCTGTCACAAGCCCAGTCCTCTGGGTAAAACTTTGTAAATTCAAGGCTGAAAGGCTACAAGCAGGACCCACTGCCCCAGTCGCATCTCTAAGCAAGGTCTTATTTAACCCGTCACCCCACCAGGACTACCCCATGTGTACAGCAGGCTAACCAGCGTTCGCTCAATGCGGGAGCTAGAAGGTGACCATGACGACACATGCAGCTCACCCCCGTGGCCGCGTCCCCAGAGTTCTGCTCCTTGAAAGAAGCTCTAAGGTTTAAAGATGCAAAGCACCAGGTCCCCACTTGAGTGTTTTTCACATAAGATTTCACAGAGCTTGAATACTCCAGATGCCCTTTAACTCCCTTTTCATTTTAGAAATAAGAACGTGTAACAGAAAAGTAAATGCAAAAATGGTTGGCAACCTCAGGGAGTGGAAAGTAAATGATCTTCTGAAACACTTTCCACTTTTGAGAAATGTGATTTGTGTTACCCTCAAAGAAGTTACCTAAGACTTTAAATTTCAGCAGTAGAAATAAAGTTGTCGTGAACTCTGTTACAAAGAAAGGACACTTACAGACCAGTCATAAATTTAAAATGAAAATGCAACGAGTAAACAGGGCAATCACACTGTGAGATGGCAGAGATAACCTCTTCCCCTCCCCCAAAGAAATGCTTTTTCCTACTTAAACTGTAGCCAGCGTTTCAGAGTGAAGTCTGAGGCTTAGAAACGAGAAGGGAAAACAGCAGGAGCATGAGTGAGAGTGACGTTGCATCTCAGCCTCATTCTGGGAAGCTCAGGCCAGGACGGTTTGTGCAGCACCAGCCGGCACGTGTCTGTGGTCTCAGGGAGAGAGTGTGCCCCACGGTCACGTCTGAGCCGCGGCCATGCCAGGACCCTTCAGAGTAAACGGGCTCCATCCTGGTGTTAGGAGATCATTATTTAAGGCTGGAACGAGTACTTCAAGTAACAAGTCAGCCATTGCCATGTTTGGAGTTGTGTGGCTGGCAGGAACCTTCCCAGCGCCTCTCTCCTATGCCGATGGCTTTATATGGCTGACAGACACCCTTGCAGGCCTCTCCCCGCTGTGGGAAGCACAGCTGTCAGCTCTGTGATGTCTGGGCAAGTAGTCACCTGTCCAGGGGACTGGGAGCAGGCTGACCAGGACCTCGCCTCCCCAAGCACAGGTGTCTAACTTCTCGGATCTCACTTTTCTCACTGATAAAGTATTGGTAACATACCTATCACCTTCTATTGCAACTGAAAAGGTCACACACACAGAAAGTGACATGCCTCAGGAAGCACGAAGCAGGTGTAACAACCCACCTAGTACTGGCTGGCCTATTACATGTTCAGACACGTGATGGACACTAAGGGACACCAGGGACAACAGGTGGGGACAGCCTTACTTGTGCGCCAGCAAGCTGTGCACAGTAAGAAGCCAGAGGGGACTCTGCAGTGGCCCCTTCAGGGAGGTGAGGCCAACGACTGTGACCGACAGGCTCCAGAGGGGTCACAGGTCCCGAGGAAACCACCGTCCGCTTCTCCTGCATGCTGTCACCATCATTGTCACCGTCACTGTCACCGTGAGCAGCTCCCTGCCCCCATCACCCACGCAACCCTAGACACCCAGCCCGGACTCCGCTGACAGAGTGCATGGCCTGGCTGCCTGGGACCTGAGGAAGGCTGCCCAAAGCCATCAGCTTTGGGACCACGGTCCCCGGCCCACCCTCTCGTGACAACGTGCAGTCACTATGCTTCCCTCTGTGCGGACGTCACCACACCTTAGTTTGTCATGTTTCCAATGGGAAAGTTAGAAACTTACATTCCATAAGGATGTTTTCAAAAAAGAAAGCAGGATAACCGTAAAAGCTGCGCAAGGATTATAAAGTCACCGAGGCTTATTCTGAACTCAGTATGAAGGGGAACAATTCTCAATACTATAGGTTGTTTG